GGAGGGGGTTTGCATGATGGTTTTGCTACATTACAAGATGCACATGTATATGACTGCCTGAGATGATACACATAGCAGACAACCGAGTGTGTATGTGCGTGGAGTTCCAAAGGAATATGGCGTACAAGATGTGCACAAGATATGGGATAGACTTGACTATGTCTGCTCAAAGAATTGTTCGTGTGTATGTACATATGTACGTGTGTGTTGGGTTTTTGTAAGCTGCTGCTATAAATTTCTTTGTCTCTAAGAGATACTTTGAAATACACTGCAAGTCTTCAGTGAAGATCTTGACTTGAAAGCTAGGATGCTTGGTACACATTCTCAGACACAAGTAGCTGAAATTGGGACTTTTTTCCCCCAAGAGGCTGTCCACTTAAAATAATGCGCATTACTGAAGTCACAAGACAAATTCACTCTGGTTACAAGGGATTTGATCATGATAGAAACATCTTACTTTTAAGACTTACAGAGTCATTTTCTTGTTAATGTATTTTACATCCATCAGCATCTGCTACAAGCTTTGGCAAGTGAATTTACCCCGAGCTTGTTGTGGTGTAGGTGCTTAAATGGCTGGTCTAGCGTGCCTCTTGAGACAGAGAGATGGTGAGCCAAAACATGGATGTTGTTTCTGGTCTGAAAGATGCGGAGCAATGCCGAAGTGATAGAGGGCTGAGAAAAGTTTTTGTGGAAGCTGACACACTGAAGATCAGTTTGATTTTTAGACATTAGTTATGCATGCCCAGTGCAGCTATGGTTCTCATGTTTTTAACTTGTTTTAGATTTTTTGCACAATGTTTGCATTGAATTGTTTCTTGTAAGATGGGGATTTTTCTTCTTCAGAAAGAAAATATGTGGATTTTCGTCTCAATGTCTTTTTTACCAATCGTAATTTATCCTGTTAAATATCAGGAGCAATCACGTCATAGTTCTCCAAGAGGAGCAATCACGTCATAGTTCTCCTAGAGGAGCAATCACGTCATAGTTCTCCTAGAGGAGCAATCACGTCATAGTTCTCCAAGAGTAGCAATCACGTCATAGTTCTCCTAGAGGAGCAATCACGTCATAGTTCTCCTAGAGGAGCAATCACGTCATAGTTCTCCTAGAGGAGCAATCACGTCATAGTTCTCCTAGAGGAGCAATCACGTCATAGTTCTCCTAGAGGAGCAATCACGTCATAGTTCTCCAAGATTGCTAGGCCAGGTTGTTCAATGCAGACTACTTTCTTGTTTAATGTGGATTGGTTTGATAGAAATAACCGCCTCAGATGATCGTCTCAAAGCAAGCGTCTTGCCCTAGGTCGAGTGCAATCCATGGCAGCCCAAGTTTGCTGCTGTTGTTTTTCTACCTTGAATTGTGATTGTTACAAATATGACAATTATATATAAATATATATTGTTTTATATAAAGATACACGTACATGCTGATGGCACTAGTCTATGGAAATGCTTTGGTCAGTCAGTCCTGCCGGTCCTGGCTGTGGTGTTTTGGACTTATGAGCAGAGGGAAGATTCTGAAGGCAGTCCGTTAGCAGGCAAAAAAAAAACCCAAGCCAATCTTTTTTTCTCTAGACAGCAGCACTCTATAGTGTTCAACATAATGGCAAATGGATCTTGTTCAGTTACTTATTGTTGTTCTGATTTATAAATCAGAAGATTGTAGGAAAGTGCAGAAAATATCTTCTCTGAAAAAGAGGGCTTTTGGTGGAAGGGGTTTGCTATATTGTTGTTAAGGATAGGTTGAGGGTTTTGGGTGGGGAGATGTCCTCATTTGGTCAAGTCTATGTAATTACGGTACTTCTTTCTTGGTAATAGATTATATTTTTGGTTGGGTGGTTGCCTTGTTGGTACATGTGGAGGATGGCACGAGGGCAGAGATTTAGGATGTTTCACCCCGACTCCCTGCAGGCTGTGTTGGGTGTTTTTCAAGACGGATAGCGCTAGCATTGTTATTAGTTGCAAGATCTTGGTCGTTAATAGCCCAGGAGTGTTGAGATTCAGACCAAAGACAGTGATCTTCCATAGATTGGTGGTGTACTCCCTCACAGTACAAGTGATATTTTTCTCTCCTGAGACAAGTCCATGAACAGAACAATTTTTTTTAAAGGGAATGTCAAGTATGCAATGAAATAAGAATTAGGTTTATTTGGCAAACCTGTGTCGAGACCTCTGTAAATTGGAAATGATCGATATGTTCGGCTGAGGTCAGCATTTTTTATTCTTGAGTCTTTTTTTTACCAATATCTGTGGTATAACTGTGAGGTTCCTCAGCAAGTGTGAGTTCGATTCCGGTGTGGGATAGTTATTTTATTGAGCATTATTTGTCTAATATGATGTTGCATCCCACTCAGCCACGGTTGAGATAAATTGGGTGAATGGGGACGAAAATCTTCAATAGTTTATTAGTTGTATTTTTGAGTTCATAGTTGAGAGAAGTATTGCCGGGTTCTCAGCAGTAAAGACTTATGCCTTCAGCTATGATGGCTTTGGTGATATACAGTTAGGGACCGTTCACAAATGACGTCGGCTCAGAGGAGGGGGGGGGGGCAGTGAAAAGGTGACCAAGATGATGTCAAGCATGGTGCCCTAAAAGGTTGGGAGGTGGGGGGGGGAGAGAGAAAAGAAAT